AAGAGTGAAGTTTCATTCAGTTTATGATGAAAAATGAAAAATGACTCAGGAAAAGCATTAAACTATGATGAGGTTAAAAGACCGGTTAGCTTAGCTGGCTCCAGGGGTTCTGGTCGGGTCCAACTGAAACACAGAGAGGGTTAGCTCACGATTTAGCAGTTAGCTTCAGCAACAAGTGACTCGTTCGGTCTGTAGTGAGCATTATCATCAGCAGTTGAATCAGAAATTTTCAAATAAAAATACCAACACGGCTATCTATTATACCTGTAGCTCACCCAATTAGAGTACTTATTAAGCATCAGATGGAAAGGAGGGGGGAAATGCAGTTACTGTTTTTGGTTCAGTGGAGGGAAGGCCTTCAGCTCGGTCCGATTCTCAGCAGGCCTGTTTTCGGTCCGTCTGTCCATTCGTCCAGCAGCAACTCAGAGATTTGGATCAATCCGCTGCAACAATCTCTTATTGTTGCAGCGGATTGATCCAAATCTCTGCGTTATTTAAGGGGGTTAATTTTATGACTCACGGTAGCACACGCAACTTCTACCTTTTAGCTACGGTGGTTAGCACATAGCCACGGCCTGAAGCAGAACCTCTGCAGCAGTGCTCCAGCCCTCCGTCTCACAGGCGGTCACAGTCTGGAGGCTTCCAGTGGCTTGTTTCGGCAAACAACGATAGAGCAGAACTGGATTTGCTCTGCTCGATCTCTGCTTTAGCAGGATTTAGAATACACCGTGCTCACTCGGTTTGAATCGCAGAAAAAATAAAAACACTGCATTCAACTCCTTCTGAATCGCAGTAAAAATAAAAACACTTCGTTCAGCTCCTTCTAAATCGCAGGAAAAAAGGCAGTCTGATTCGGTCAGACTTCCCCGGAGGGGTATCGGTTGCTATGTAGCGTAGCCTTCAGCTGGGACAGTGTTGCCTAGCATTTGAGCGGCATGAACAATAGGATGCTAATATGGGAAGCTAGGGTTTTTAAAACCTATGCCGGAGGGGTGTGTCTTCAGAGCGGCGTACTTCCGTTGTTCTGCAACAATTTATCGCAACATTACCATGGAAGTGTTTTTTTCTGAAAATGGAGCATGTTCAATCTGCACCACAAACTAAAATCT